AACAAATGCCAGGCTGCCCAGCGTTCTTTTTTGGGGAAAAAAAAACAGCAATCTCCTTGCCAAGTAAACTGAAATATGCTAAAATGCAAATGTTGATGTGTTTCAACAGGGAAATTCAATCGCTGAATGCAAACTTTGTTTTCAAAAATTGAAATGTTAAAATCATCCAGGTTTCAAACTGAAAAGTAGGATCATATATACACAGTCTTTATTTAATCAGCAACTTTGACATTTTTATGTTAATTTTTTCTCCAGATATTGTATTTTCCCCCCCTTGAAACACACCCAATTTATAGTATGCTCACACTCATATAGACACACTTGCCGTAGAGCTGATAGATTTAGTTCCAGATGTGACAGTATATATATATACGTATGTGAGATGTAATAAATATTGATTTTTATTTTCCTTTTTTGTTACTAATGCCTCAAAATTGTTTGAGTATACATGTGTAAGCATTGATATTGGTTGATATTTGGCAGTATATCCTCTTCTTTATAAGGGAAGGCAGGAAAAGGTTCAGTAATCAAATTCCTGAATGAAAAGATTGTGATCTTCAGTGCAGTGGGCACACGGTCAACAAATAACATAAAGTGGTGCCTCATGCTCATAGAATGTGACATGTGTTCTTTGTGTAAGTATTTTGATGGTTTATTAATGGCATCAAAAGACAAAAGAAAGTAGAGAGGAGATGGACGTACTGTGTCTTTACAGTGAGTGGGTATCTGAAGCGGCAGATCCTCTACTGGACAACAAAAATAAAGCTCTTCCAGGTATGTCTTAGTAAAAAATTTCTCTCTGCAAAAGTTACCATTCTTCATACAGTACTGAGAAAATAGATTGAGTAGCCAGGAGATCAGTGACCTTAGGCAAATCAGCATTACATATCGCAATCCATTTAAACTTCTGATGTTGGAAAAGCTGTTGAAGACTGGCTTCCCTTAGCGGAAGGTGTCCTTGCCCATGGCAAGGGGGTTGGAGCTAGATGATCTTAAGGTACTTTCCAACCCTAACTAGTCTATGATTCTGTGATTCCCGAGCCAGCCACTCTTTTTTTCTCATCAGGATAAGGGTCCCTCCTCTTGGCAAGTGAAAACTTGCTCTGTGTTACCCTGCACCCATCCGTCGGTTGGAGAACAGCCCAGGAAAGCGTGGCACTGCTAGCCAGCCTGTGTGGCACTGGGGATATATGGAGAACAAGAACATCTTTCTTCAGCCTCATCAGGAAGGTGCTAGGGCAGCACTGAGTCTAAGTTCACAGGGAGCCTCACCAAGCACCTTCTGGCTCCCTACTAGAGGAATGGTGCGCAGGAGCCGAGACAGGGAAGCCCTGAGAAAGGGCTGTGGCCGAAACTGTAGAAATCAAATCTAGGTCTGAACAGAGCACTTCACTAACCAAATCTGGATTGTCACCGGTTGCTTCTATTTAATGAGACCCTTTGGAAAGCAGGACCTCAGGCTATAAACTTCCAAAAGGGGGAGCAGAGCATCTAGGTTGGTGATTAACCAACTAGAGTAATCAGTTGTGTGTGAGATACTTTGGGGGATAGCTGTGATTCAGTTTGTGGAAAGAACGAGGTGTCATTTAGGTTTTTTTAGGGATGTAAGTTTGTAACTAATTTTTGTCTCTCCTTGCCAGCGTAACGGTTTGAATGTTAATTTAATTTTGCAGAATATCATTTATGTAAATGTAATTAGAAGGGAAACATGATCGGGAGATGCACAGCACCAAAGAAAATTTATTACTCCGAGGGGTATTGCTCTAATCATTCAACTGCAATATTGAGTTTCCCCAGATTTAATCTAAAAGCAATAAATTACAAAAGGCTAATGTCCTGCCCAACAAAAAGCTGTCATGAACCCAAGTTTCTGTGGGGAAAAAATTCAACTTCATTTCAGCAACAGGCTCTCCTCGTTTACACATTCCTTTTATGATTCCAGTCAAGTCAAAGTAAAATGAATACAAATGTGAGAGTTCGAACACTTTCCCTGAATCTGTACGTGTGTCTGTTGGTGATTGTAATAATCAGCAATCCAAGGCACTAGGACTCCCTTATGTTGGGCAGAATTGGGAATGCAGTCCTGCAAAGATACAACTGCAAATTCTTATCCCCACCTTTGCATGACCCTGTGATTTAAGGGAAGGCAAATTTGAGTCTGATTAATTCCAGTGTCCATATGAAAGTCTCTTGCTAATGTGCCGTCCTTTTTGTTCTGCCAACAAAATGAATGAGGAGAAAAGAGCTGTCCTTCTGCCTGTGTTAGTGACTGTAACCTGTGTATTTCATGGAAGCACTGTAGGGAAGTTGCCCTCTTGGCACTGCTGGTCTGCGTTTACTAAAGGAACACTTTTGGAAAGTGGAATGAGAAACAAATGGATAGTCAAAAATCAAACAATATTGTGTGGTTACTTCTTAAAGCCCTTGGATAGCAGTTCTCCTATTCAAGAAGCATCTTTCCACTTAATAAAATCTGCAATGAAAATTTGTCAGCAAATAAACAATAGCTAGCCAAAATAAGAGTTGGTAAAGCCTGACTAATGTGTAGGCTAACACACTGTTAAGTGTTGGGGTTTTGTGGTGCAATTTAGTATGAAGGCTGATGCCAACATTACACTTCTCTAAGAAGCAGAGTAATTAGTACAGGAAATAGGTTTCTTATGTTTTATTTAGTCAAATTCATCTCTGGTTTAACTCCACTGTAGCCTGTATTATGTTTGTTCTTATTTCCCAGTGTTGTTCCTCTGCACAGTTCTTTATATCATGACCTTTAATTCACTGTGATTGTCTTTTATTTTAGGTAGGGGCCATAGTGCCTCTCTCAGTTTGTTAGTATCAATTATGTTGTAAGCCTGAGTTTCTTGGCTCACAAAATTAAACCCATCAGATCCGCAACATGCTTTTACAAAGTGCATATTGGCAGGTTTAGAGATTCCCACAGCTGTACATGGGACACAGGGAGAAATGCAGGGCTGCAGCCTCAAAGGCACAGAGAAACAGAACTGTGAGAGGACTGGGGGAAAATGCAAGGAACAGAGAAAAACAATGTTCTTAGAAGTAGGGGAGGAGGGGCTCAACATATGAGTTGCTCATGTCCATGTAGAGTCAAAACAAGTCTTAGGAGGATGGCTGAAAGCAGTAACTAGCAGTCTGGAGAATGAGAGAAAGTGAATGGACTTGTGATAAAAAAAGAAGCTGGTGGGGCTCAGGAAAAAGCCAATTATGAAAACAATTATTGGATTCAAATCAGTACCTTCAACCAAATTCTAAAGATGAGGTCCTTGTGAATGACTTTGGCTGAGAGCGGTTGGAACTTGATGATCTTAAGGTCCTTTCCAACCCAAACTATTCTATGATTCTATGATTCTGTGATTCTGTGTGTGTGCACAGGTCTGCCTGTGGTCCCATGCTGTTATGGCACTGACAAGACAGGAAGGCAGCTGCCTCCTCCCCTTCTGCCTCATGTATGTGTTGCAGAGATGAGTTCCTCTACTGGAAGCTCTTCTTGTAGGGCTTTTTCTGTATGGCAGGCACCCCAACTTCTGTTTCATTTCAGACAACCCAAAGTTAAACTGAAAGGAGGAAAAGATGGTTGAATAGATTCCTAACAAGATACATACCACATCGGCTTTTGGTGTGTAGGGTACTGGTGTAAAGCTGTTATAGTTGTAATTCTCCACCCACGGGTGTTTAGGGAGGTACAAATGTGTGCAGCAGAACATAGGACAAACTGCTGTGGGTACACTTAATTAACAGTGAACATGCACAGTACTAATCATCTCATTCTTGATTGTATGCAAGTATAGCACAGATCATAACAACCTGAGCAGGAAGCTGCAGGCCTGTACTATGTGATTGCAGAGAGGATCTTTCTCAGCCAAGCAAATCAGTAGAGAATAACAAAACCAAAGAGTAACAGTGGAAAGGGTCTTACCTTAGTAATCTACAATGTACACAGATTGCAAGCTGTAGGGCCAAGAGACCTAAGATGTATTTTTCATTTCACAAGGTGTAATCTCTCTAGTTGTGAAATAGCATTTAAGATTTTTTTTTCTCTTCGGTTTCTTTTTTTGCACAATGCAAGAATGGGAGTCATGCACCATGGAATCTGTTTTCTGCCCCAGATGAAGGCGGCTTCTAAAATTGCTTAAGATGCATATATAGAGATTTTTATTAGTCCAAGAAGTCTTCCAAGATCATCATCATTTATTACAGTTCCTGTGTTATTCATTCCAATGAGATTTATAATTATAAACCAGTAATTAAAGAGGCTCCACTCTGTAATTCCATAGGAATTCCACTGTGATCTGACATTAATTAACAACCAATTATAAATTATGATATAACTTTTAAGAAAACCCACCAGTGTCTCGGTGCTTTCTTCCACTTACAATGAAATGTTAGCAGGGATTTCGCTTTTGTAAGCTGGAGCTTTGTTGCAGATTGATCGGTACTGCCGTGCGCTACGGGTGTGTTTCCACGATGCAGCAACTACATGGGTGGGCAGGTTCAACCTGCTAAGGTTTTGAAAGAATTTTTGTCCTCATCTTTCTTTTAAGAGGCAGCTGTCTCAGAGGATTTCAGCCTTCTGTCATGTCAACAAGTGTGCACACTTTAATGCTTAGATGTTATCTGACTTGTTATGTAAATCAGAGTGATATGATGCATCGCCTATACACCTGATGCGAGCTCTCTCTGGCTTGAAAGTGTATTTTAAATAATTATAGCCAGTCAGGAAAAAGAGAAAAATCGTTACATGGCTCTAATGGGAATGACTGGGATAGAGCAGATGCAATAACAGGCAAACTTTCAAAATTTTGCTATTATTTGACCATCTGCATTAAGGATCTGATAGCTAGTGGAAATGGTGTGTCCCCAGAATGTGACAGGTAGAATGCTACCTAGAGATGTGTGGGTAATAAAACACATGGTACATACAGATAATCAAAACTTTGCATCGTTCTGTCCTGTTTTCTATTTTTCTTTTTTTTTTCCTTTAGTGAACTTAGGTCAGTAATCATCATTAAGCTTGTGGGAAAGACTGGGGAAGTGGGATAATACCAAAATTCATTACTTGCAAAGCCATGTAGAGAGCAAGAGACTTAAAAGGAGACAACAGATTTTTTTTGCATGGCTGAAATCATGAGGTAAGTTTTCAAAGCCTTGCCCTGCAGATTAATTTCCACCATCTCCATTAAGCCTAATGAAAATCACGTGTGTGTTTCTGAGTATTTCTTCGCACGCTCTTCCTTTGCTTCTTTGCAGCTCCTCCCTGGGACTTTCCATAACTCCTTTGATCAAGCCTCTAAGACCTCTGCCATGAAGTGTGGCTTCTGAGCTGATCAAAGTTAGTGTGGGAAAGGAGTGAAGAGAAGTGTGGCCCTTATAGTCACCTCCGCATCCAGCTTTCATTATAAGGCTGCATTGGTCTGAGCACAAAGTTGTTCAGGGAAGTAATAGTGTGGCTTACTTAGCAGCCAACTTTTGTTGGCTTTGGAGTCCTTGCTCTCAGGGTCAGTGTGGTTGCATGGATGTACATAGGTTATCTTTCCATTGTAATTTTTTGCCATTTTAAAAGAGGGAGCAATCCTTTTATTTAAATTCAGACAGATCCAACAGTCTTGACCAAGAGATATTAGTGCCTTTTGCTTTCACCCTCGTTAATGTGAGTGTACCTGTTCTCCTATAAAATAGATAAGATTTCAGCTGGGAAATTCTCATAAAAATCTCATCCTGTTATGCTGCATCTGTTATCATGGCATCTCTGAGTAGCTTTGCCAGTTAGCCAGAGATGTGTCACTGACAGCAAGGAACAAAATGCATCTTTGACTAGGGAAATGTTACAAACTTGCTAGATCAGATCAGCATCAGTGGTGATTCATCCTCCTCCTGTTAGACCCAGAGAGTATGTATGAACTAAACTTGCTGCTTTTGCTTGTAACTATCCCTAGAAGGGATTAAGTTTTTAAGATCTGGCTACATGTGTTTTGGATATTAATATGTGCTTTTGGTTCTGTGCCTGAATAAGATTTAGAGGAATTTGAAGAGCAGCTGGACGCTAAAGCTTTAGGAGATCGAGCGTCAAAGCAGGGCTCATAGTAACCAACCTCCTGTCAGCAAATCCTAATGTTCTATATTTAACCTACTATTAAAATTATGTTATGTTATTTTTGTCTACCTTCAACTCAAAAGTTTGGTTTCTGTAAGATTGCAGAACAAGGCAAGCTCAGTTAAGGCTATACAATTTATCTCACTGCTTTCTTTTTAGCTCACTGTGGTCTGATGGCAGCTGAAAGGGCAAATGAGAAAGGTAGGTATTATGTTTCAAGGGGAGAGTTATAAAAGTCTAAACTGCATCCAAAGTATATTTTACTCCTAATAATGAGAACTGGATGAACAGCGTTTAAAAAAATATGAACCTGCCCCAACTACATTGGTTCAGAACTAACTGATCTAATGCAGTTTTCCAAAGAATAATTGATATTATATAATCATAACTGGCAGTTTATGTCATGAAAGCGACACTTGACGCTTTCCTGCTAACCAGTTTAACATCATCAATTAAGACATCACTTGTGTAATGACATTTTAGTAACCAGTTTAATATCATAAATTATGACATCACCTTCTTTTATGCCATCAGGGTTGAATAAAAGGTTTTCTTTAGATCAGAGAAAAAGAGGGGAAAAAAAAGGAGGAAACCTTGACATTGCCTCTAATTTGTCCTTATAAAATGTATGTATGTGCTAGCCCTCTGATCACTGTCCTCATTAGAGAGGATCTGAGAGTTGATAAGCTACAAACAAGGGTGAAATAAACAATTGAAAAGCATATGCTTTGGCTTAGCACAGGTAGCCTCCCAGTAGACAGTAGTGTACTTTGCATAACACCAATGGAAATCATCCAGAAATGGAGAAGAAAGTACGGGCATGCTCATGGAACCTGATGAACTCAATTACAGTGCAGTAATATTTACCGAGATATGGTGTGAGAGTTCAAGATTGCGTCATTACCCACCAGTCAGTGTTCTTTTTCTTCATGATCAGTGACTTTAAAGTAATCCTTTATATCTCATTCTTCATTGAACGGTCAAATTCTGATGTTGGATTCTGGTATTCTACATCTCAGGTTCCTGTGGGCGTTACAATGACTCCTGGTGATTTGAGTCCTGAGCTGGCAAATGCCTACATTTATTTATATCTACTTATCTGCATGGAAGGAGACAGGAGGCAGAGAGAGATTGAGTTCAGAGGATTCTTAGTTAAACAAAGGTCTCTATGAATGTGCATCTTTGTAGGATTAACTGCAAGGAGTCAAATATTTTAAGTATATAGTGTGTTTCCAGAGCCAGCTTTCTAAAGGCACATAGCATCAGCTTCCCTCTTTTCCTACCAAAGTCAATAGAAGTGTTGTCAGTGACCACAGCCACAAGCAAAAACTAGTTCAAAATCAAGCACTTTTTATTTTTTCCTGCAAATTTTTGTCTTGAAACTGGATCACTACCATATTAAGTTGTGCTGAACTCCACTTGGACTCTACCTTGAGATAATACCCAGTGTGTCTTATAGTGCTTGCACAGAAACTTAACCTTGTTACATGCGGGTGGTCCTGTGAATTCGTGTGCTTCTCCCATTGCTTGCCTTTGTATCAGGTCCAGGTTTGAAAAGCAGAGAAGGAATTCTAGTTAGGTAGTCAACAACTGTTGTATATTGACTGGGGCATAAGTATTTCCCTGAGTAATCAAGAATAATTTCCCTTGCTAATTCCCACACTGTAAATCAAGGTTATGACAAAGGGGTGCAGTGTGGCATCTGGGCAGCTGCTCCATCCTCAATCAAGTGTCCAGCACTAAGAGATGCCTGAATACTGTGAAGAAAGAGGTAAGTTGGTAAGTATGATACCACTTCTGAAATTACAGACAAAATTTTAAGCAAATCTATGTAAATTGTCGGTGCAGATCTTAGTGGCCTCCCGAGGATGCTGTGATTTACCTACCCTCTTTTCCCAACATTTTTTCAAAAGTTTTTTTCCCCCATGAATATTTATGTCGATGCCTCATTTGCTGACTGAATTTCCACTCTGCTGGAATTATGCTTCCCCATAGTGCACCCAGGAAAGGTGAGCCGTTAGAGGTGAGAAAAAGAGATTCCATGACCTTTAGGAAATAGCAAGTGGCACTAGATAAAACCTATTCTGTGAGGGGTTACTTATGGATTGGTTGGACATAATTACCAAAAAATTATTATCTCTCTGAAACAATTAACTTCTGGTAGATCAGAGTCCACATCTCCAGAAGCTCTGAACTTTTGCAAATTGGCTCAGCCCATTGCCACTCTTAGGCGATGAGTAATTCTTAAACTAGGCATGAGTGATAGATACCCCATATTTCTGGTTATGAGTATGGACTTATTTACAGCTGGCATTTTTTTAAAAGTGAGTGGTAAATGTTAAGGTGCTCGATTCGATGCTTATGAATGTGTTTCCTTGGTGATAAAGCTTTCACTAAGCATGTTATCTGTCTGTGCTATCTTATATGCAGACAAGAGATGATTCACACTGTGTGTTATAGGTCTTGTGCTCTAAAATTGAATCCTCTATTGAATCCTCTATTGACTTATGGCTGAGAAGCATAGAAATCAAATCCACAGCTGGTTCTTCTTAAAAGTGAAGTTTTGGCAAAAGCAACGAAGGCTTTAATGCATTAGAAAAGTGTGCATTTTTTAAAGTTGTTTCACTTCCTATTTTCTCTCTGCAAAACTCCCTGAAGTTAGAAGTGCTCGTGTGTTTCATCTTGCAGTTTCAGCAGAACATAGCTTTGATTTTGCATGCCCCGCTACTGCCTATTAAATGCAGAGAAGATGTTAGTTCATGGAGGTACGCAGGTTAAATAAACAAATACATAAGATGAAATCTTTCTGGCACAGAGAAGCAATTTATCTAATCATGAAGCAGTTGTGGCTGGAAATCTCTTCAGTAGAGAAACAGAAATGGCTTTGGAAAACGTGAAGTGGTACAGAAAGACTAAGCAAAATCCTCCTTGCACTGACAAAAAGTGTCACTTACCCTAAAGCGAGAAGTGCCATCCCAGTTAAGGTTTTGCATTTTTCCACTTAAACCTTCCTTTGTAAGTAAAATAAAGGAGAGTTGGCCTGATGGATGTCTGTGAATAGTTACCTAGTGCATCTCTGATTTACTCTTGCTTTTCATCAGCTCCAGCACTCATGACCTTAGAGGGTTATAACACAAAACAGGTAGATGCAAAAGATGCGGACTTAAATGAGACTTGCTGCCAGTGAGACACTGGCGATCACAAAAAGCTGTCATCCCAGCACATGTTACTCACTGGGGCTTGAGAACTATAAATGGCATAGGGTTATGTGCATTAATTGCATCATAAAGTAGAGGGGCCCCAAAGGAGGTCTGGTCTCAGCTGTGCTATGACTGGGACAAACAATTAATGAGAGATCTTACAATCTCATTAGGCAGGACAGAAGTAGAGAGTATTAATCTCCTATTCTCTGTCTTTGAGACTTGAGTTTAAATATGCCCATCGTTTACACAAACAATCTATGGAGGGAAATGGAACTGACTTTTCTTGAGTCTTATTCCCAATTTCAGGGGCTGGCTTTTCTTTCCTTCCTGTTTACATCAGCATGAGCTCTGCAACCTCCCTTTTTGTACAGAAGTCATCAGAGACATTTAGGTTTTTCTTTTGTCTCTGATTTCAACTTCTGTTTCTATGGTTTGCATTTTTGACAGCTACAGTGTCATTCAGTAAACTGCAAACTCTTCTAATCCCAATGATATTGTCTTATTTTTTAAGTTCTGTTCTTGCACAGACAAAACTGTCCTACGTATTTCTTGAGAATGTTGTTTTTAGAACTTCAGATACAATAAAGGTAAATCAAGAGCCAGGTCAAGTTGCTTTGTGTTTCTGTTGCACAGTGGAGACAGAGATTTTCTGACCCTGCAGGTATTAAAACCTTGTTGGCCATTTAGGAGAAATTAGCCAGATGTTGACCCCTTTACTGCCCATTTAGCAAGCTGTAGCCCAAGCTGTAGTAACTTTGTGGGAAAATGGGTTCTCTGGTATGTGGTAATGCCCCTGCACAGGCCTGAGCTTTGCTATTGGAACTGGTACAGCCTTTCTGGCATCCCTAGATAAACTCCCACATAATTTACAAAAGCTGTCAAGGGCTGGCACTGGCTTTGGAGAAACCTTAGAGATGGAGTTCAGGGCTACCACAATACAGGCCAGCCCTGTAGAAACCCACATGGAGACTAACAAAGTTGCAGGCTGTAAGGATGGCTTTATGTGCTCTCTGCCTCATGGGCATGAGTCATGTAGGCCAGATCTAGAGAGATCTCTGCACTGCTGGGTGGGTGGGAATCGAAATGTGAGGGTCTTTCATGTCAGCCTCTAAGGGACTAACACCCAACAGATGGTTCTTCCTTTCAGAAGAAAGGAAAAAGGTGCAGTATCTCCTAGAACTTATATTGTAGCTTTTGGATTTGCTGCCGTTGTTGACGTGGCTTTGGAACAGCTTTAGCTGGAACTATTGCAAGAACCTGATTCTGGCATTGTTTTGTCTTTTTTACTACTGTTTTGTCCCAGTTTGTCTTTGGAAATGTCTAGAAATGGAAGAGGCGCCACTTGGTCAATAGTCTGGGGGGGCAGAAAGATTGTCTCCTTCGTTCTTGGTTGGCCTTGAAATTCCCCCTAATTAGTATTATCATTATATTCTCACTCCTATCACCCACTCTGTCTATTCAGCTTAAATATACCACCTCCAGACATAATAAATCTGAAAAAATGTGCCTATTATTTTTCTTTCTAAATCAAGTCCAAAAGAATGAAGCAGCAGTATAGTTCCGCTAGAGTAACTGCTGATTTTGCTGCTTAATTTTTTTTCTCACTTCTTTCCTATTTCCCTTTGTTTTTCTCCATATCTCCAGGATACATAAACTCCCTGTCACTCTCACAGCTCTTCTCAGCTATGCAGCTGCCTGTCAAGGAATACATGGTAAAATTCCTACCATTACCCATTCCTCACACTCAGACAAGCGTTAGGCCAAGGGCCACAAATGTGATTCAGTTGCTGAGATTTTATCCATTCCGTGAAGAAGTTTGGAACTTAACGGGAAACACACAAAGCAAACAAGCTGCCCTCTAATCTAGGAAATTCCTCTAGAATGTCTCCCTTGGAAGACTCTTGCATCAGGACAATCAAATATAAGGAGATTTGGAAAAATTTGGTTTCACCTAAACTTTGGCTGGATAATGCATTTCCTAGAGAGCAGTTTCCTTTATGAAAACTGTCTGAAAGTGGAATTATGTGAAAATCAGCATTTCTCCTAACCCACCCTTATCTAAAGTATATTACTGAATAATACTACAATCGAAAAGGAGAAAAGGACTTTTTAGGTTCCTGAAAGTTTTCAAGATGGATTTTTCTGTGAGCAGGAAAAGAAATCTGAAGAAGGCATGTCCCATGACTTTTTGGTTTGCCACATTTAAAGTGCAGTAACTGAAACATACATTATTGTCAGTATTTACTGTCAATATTGTAATATTTATTCTCAATTACAAGGAAGACATGTTTTTCAGATAATAAGTATTATTATTACTGTTATTTCCTTCCTCCAGATTGAAGCATTTTAGGAAAAGTTACACACAAAACTATAAACAAAAGCAAACAAGGTAATGTTTGCTTTTCTAGCAGTATGCCTTCATAGTCTCTGCTGACATTTTTAGTTTTCTGACAATGGAGCTGTTTAGTAAATCCCTTTAAATTCTTTCCCAGCCAGAGCCAAATTCATCTCCCAAGCAAATTCCTCCTTACGATTACAGTGCGATACTTCATATCTGGTATATCTGGTTCTCAGTGCCTGATTATGAGCTAGGGATTATGAACTAGTTATATTTAAGACTGTAATTTGTTTTTGAAAGTTTCTCTTTGTCATTCCCCATTTTTTGGTCTCCCTACAAATATCTTTTAAGAGCAGCTGAAATCCTGCCAGACCCCAGGGGACAAAGGCGGGTGCACAGGTGTTGGAAATACCCAACAACTCCACTAACCAGGGGCTTTGCAGAGAACATCATGAGCATCAGCTTTGATTTTAAAGAATGCTGTTGCTTTGGCACTGCTGGGGGGGTAAACAAGTGAACATTATGTTATGTTTTTTAAATATCCATTGGACTCGCATAGATTTTCTTTAGTTAATGTATCAAGCATTCACCAACTACAAGATATATAAGCTAATAGGTACATCATTTAAACCGAGTTGAGCTTAAGTGTCTTAGATAATTAAGCTTTGCATAAATTCCGATTCAAGCAATTTCAGCAAAAAGGCTTTCAAGTAGCCAATCTGGGATAAAAATATTTTTATTTCAGTACCTTGTTCTTCATAACATCCTTCACAGATGCTATAACATTGTTTTAGTCTTTAGAAAAATATCTAACAACATGATTGTCTCACACCAGGCATAATCCCAGTGGAAATTAAAATTGCATGCATTTTCTCATCACTCTTTATTTAACAACTGGGAGAGTTTTAATATTTGAAACTCAGCAAGAAAATTGTCTTGAAACACAGAGATTCCTTTGGGGTAATTTCACTTTTGTTTTGTGTGAACTTTAGCTGAGTGATTTTTTTACAGTAATATGAGTCTATGGATTGTATGATGGGTAACAGGGCTTTCTATATATGCTCCTCACCTAACATCCAAGGGAAAATAGCAAAGGACATTCTAATAAAATCATTTGAGTCAGCTAGCCTTATTAATAAAGATGCCCCATTTCAGATGTTTTAATAGTTTCTTTAAACCTGTGTCACTGGGTTTAAGAGTGAACCTGAAAGTCACTGTATTCCCGCATGAAAGGCAATACAGTTCTGACACTTCTTCAATTTTCACAACAATAACATCAGATGAAAAAAAAGTGAAAGAGTAACCAGAACTCTGCTATGAATATTCAGTGTCAGGAACAAGTGAATGCAGGAAAATCACTTTAGACTTTAATAGCAACTAAAATTACAGCATCTTACCCAGAGCTGTGTTTGATTAAATGAGCAAAAGTTGGCTGTGAGAAGAAAAGACATCACAGAAAAATATATAGAGACCTCTGCTTTGTTTGCATGGAGTATCTTTGAAAAGCTTTTGTAGTACTACTTCCCCACCTCACCCTAGGGTAAGATAGCAGCGTAAGCTGAGCTAGGACAGGAATAGCATTTTCATGTTGCTGACAAAAAATGGGGTGCTATCCCTCGTGTAAAGTCATCAAAAAGGGGGTATTTTATAACTCTTAAGTACATACTTGGCCCCAGTGTGAGTCAGTTAGCTTTTTTCTTAGTGCTTTTGAGGACACTGATTTATTATTTTTTCTTTCTGTAAGTGAGAGGACATCTGGCATGGCCAAGAAATCTAGCATTGATGGGACTTGGTAATGCAGTTTGCTTGACTCAGAGCAGCAGTATCCAGAAACTGATGGCTCATCTACAAAATGAGCTGGTTGTTTCCTTTCAACAACTGAAGGACAAATGCTTGCAATGCAAAATAACATTACAATAGGCTCTTAAAAGTAGTTATAGAAAAGTGAAGTGGATTTAGTAGGGTTGATTGTATCAGCTGATTTCCATTAGAACTTTTTTCTTTTTGCCTGCAATCAACCCTCCGGAGACAGGTTTGCTAGCAAGGCACCGCAGCTATCGTGTAGTGTCTTCCTATATTCATTATAGCTCAGATCTCTTTTGCAGATTGAAGATTCAGAGGTCAAGAAGTACCCTTCAGAAACACTGCATTCACATTCAGAGAGTGTGGTTATTGTGGTGCCTTGCATTGGGCATCGTCGCTTATTTTCATGTGTTCAACAGAGTAACATCAACACTCCTGTCACTATGCTTGCACTCTTGATGTTTTCATCTTTAGCATTTCTGAGACAGAGTGAGACCTGCCAGTGCCTATCAGGAGTCTGGGGCTTTTCCCTCAAGAGTTTCTAGCAAAGTCAAAAAAGCAGCGTCCAAGGCCTCTCTTTATGCAGAGCTTTACACTGGTGCTGGTGCCACTGCATTCAAATCTAATTTGCTTGTCAGCTGGGATGATTGCACACTGAAATATATGCTCAGATACATACTTCCTTGGGTTTCACTCGTACGGTAAAATTCTAATCCTTTCTGGTGAATCTTAATCACAGCGTCTTTTTCTCCCACTAAATGTCCCATCAGGAGTGTTGTTTACTAATTCTTCAACTGACAAAGAAATACTTCAGGCCTCCAGGTTGTTTCAGAAAACAGGCAACAGATCTACCCTCCAGGTGCAGCATCAGCAAGGCCAAAGAGAAACCGAAAGTGCTTCCTGTGATTTTCTTGACATTAGTCCTTTGCAGAGGTGAGAGTATTTGCCAGGACAGAACATTTATCACCAGACTCCATTTCAGTGGCACAATGGGTACCTGTGGATAAGTCTGTAAGAGAAAAGAGGTCACAGAAGATGTTTGTTCTCAAACAGCTCACCAATCACTCATAGTATAAGACCTCAGGAATATTAATAACATGGTCCAAATGTGTTTCAGATACTTGCAGAGTGTGGGCAGCCAGCAGCAGTCTGGTGTTGAAGGGAGTCTGCTCTAAGTGTTTGGCAAAAGTCAAGTTTTTCACCAAAAGATCAGATTACTATTAAAACCCCTAAAGAAAGGCAGAAGCTCGTTGTTCCCCTGTTTGTTTTTTTCTCTGCACCTGAGCTGAATACTGAGAATTCAGTAGCCTGGTAGTGAAAGATGGCGTTTCTGAAAAAGGAAGGCTATTGGTAGACCCAAGGTAGGTTCTAACTGGCCTTGCGATCTTTATGCCAAGAGCAGGGACACTGAGGATGTCATCAGTTAACGTATGTGTAAGCCAAATGCATCAGTAAGGCCACTTTAGACCAGTCAAAGGTGCCTGTCAGGTCTCATACTGTTCAGCTCATACAGTCATTTGTGCAAGATGAGCCTTTGGAGCAGTTACTACTATCTTCTGCCCAGGCAGCAGGGTCTTCTAAGCCAGGGCCTGGTTTTGCATTCTAAACCTTGGAAATTGAGTTTAGATTGGTTGAACAGGATTGTCTTTGTTCTGTTTGTGCAGAGCCTAGCAGAGTAAACACCAGCCTATGATCTGGTTCTTATGTGCAGTGGTGTTGTGAAAGGCCAGATACCCATGTCAAAAATGAACTTTGTTTCCTACTGTAAAGCCCTATCATCGCCTTGTCTGCGCTCAGACACTGAAAAGATTTTGGTTTGTTTCAGGCACGAGTGACTCTTTGGAGCGCACACAGCTCTGTCCAGATTATTCACTGAGGCTGTCAGTTATTTCTATTTGCAGACTGCCGTAGTTACCCTTTTAAATATTGCACCTCTCATTATCACAATCCTCCAACCTTATCAAAGTCACTGTGATTGTTTCCTACTCTGTTTCTCCTGTATTAGCATGACTGATACAAGTATATTAAAGAATTACCCTTTTATATTCCAGCCTGAATATCAGTTTTTGGGAAGCAAGCAGGTCATCTTACGGATAGAAGATGTTTGTGCACAGAAGGCATTTTATTTTTTATTCTCTTTGGTATTTTAACAAGGGCAATTAATATTCTCTTGTGAGATTTTGCCTTCTGGGTAAAGAACATCCTTTACCTCCCCTTCTCCCCCTTTCCCCAAACAATCTTCTGCTATGCTGGGAAGATGGAATGTATAGATGATATCCCTTTCAGAAAATATATCCATCATATATCACAAGTATTGTCATTATGATGTATTAATGTAATGCGTCATCAGAGAGCTGTCAGGGTGAAGATTTATTACTCTAAAATAAGTTATGGTGAGACACTGGGGAATGGGTTGACAGAATTTTTGTTTATTTTTCTAAATTAAGGACTTTTAAAGATCTCTTACTTTCATGAAGTAGTAGGGGAGGGAGGGTCACAGAAAAGAGGACTTGAATCAAAAACACCAGAAACACTCAGGAGGCCTCATAGAATAAGAATGTAATATTTTTCCCCCCAGGTAGTTTCCATGAGGTCTGCAAAGTTTAAGTTTCCAGCTTAGCTGAGGGCTACAGTGGGCACTCAAAGTCTTTTCAATCAACCAGAATTTGGACTTTATTGTTTTTCCTTTGAAGGAAAACAGTCACCAAAGCATGAAGACTTGGACTATATAAGACAAACCAGGTGCTAAAAATGGTCTAAAAAGAATTGCATTTTAGTACAAAAGGCTATTCCCTTTTTCAGGTGTGTCCAGTGGACTTAACATAAACCTGATACAAACGCATTGAAATCGGTTAGAGCTCTTCAGCAGGTTTGCACAGACTTTGGATCAAGCCCCTTCCCTGCATCATGTGGTGAAGCCATGAAACTTGGCACATTTATAGCACTGTAACATAAAGCCATCTGTGTACAAGTACAAACTTTTCCTTATTGCCAAAGTGCTTAATGTAATTACAATCAGGCTTGCTTCTCTTCTGCTTAGTTCATCCATATGCTGAGATGGATGCAAACTTGCACTGGTAAAGAATTACACAGCATCTGAATTTGCGTGCTGATTACAGCAACGTACATTGCTAGCCTTGTAAATCATAGAATCATAGAATCATAGAATAGTTAGGGTTGGAAAGGACCTTATGATCATCCAGTTCCAACCCCCCTGCCATGTGCAGGGACACCTCACACTAAACCATGTCACCCAAGGCTCTGTCCAATCTGTCATTGAGCACTGCCAGGGATGGAGCTTAGGCGCTTTTGTATTTTAAGGAACACACATGAAGTTACAGACTGTCTTATAGGGAAACTGGTAACAAAAATATGTCAGAAAGTTCAGCCTGTATTCTTTTCTTGCTAACTACACAAGGCACCTGACTTAGGAGCTCAGTTGCCCTTGCTTCCCTGTATAATCAATGACGAGTCAGAGGTGTCTCAGAATTTGGATACCTAAGATAGCAATTGCCTTCAGGAGGTGACTTTTGCTCCTTGCAGACGAGAAGATGAATGCTGAGCTCCTATTTACTTTGTTTACTCCTTAAAGAATGTTGTATTAATCCTGAGTGTTGGTTTCCTGGGCTGTCCCTGTCCATAAGTAGCTGCAAAGTAGTTGTTTCATCTTATGATTCACTCTTTATATTGACCTCATTTACTTCCAAATGCAATGTTATCCCATCTATCTACTGTATCCTTGCATTTCCTGCATCATGGTATTTGCACACCGTTTCCTTAACACTGAATACAGTATTGGTCAGTGTAAGTTGAATACCAAGGTTGCTTATAGGTTAATGAATGCACTGCGCTTGCTGCTGACTGATGTAATCACTGATAGGTTGTACACTGAACTTGACCCTACAGCCCACAGACATGTACTTGACTTTATCAGTGGGGATGGTATATTTGAAAGGAATATTAACATTAAAAAGAAACACATGCAGTGGATGCATTTGCAGGTGCAGGGGATATGTTTTCAGGAAAAATAACCAGAAAACATTGCTGAAGGGAAAATGCGGTTATGCCAGAAAGGTCTACAAATTTCTCTTCCTGAAGAAAAATAATGATAAGCTGCTTAATTTTGGCCATTTTTAGCAAGACAGTTAAATTAATTATGTAAAATGTAGGTGTGCAATGAGTGCCAAAGTTATGCAAATTACTTGTACCCAAAGTCCTTTATAAAATCTGCTGCTATCAATAACAGAAAAAACTTTCCTTCTCCATAAGCATCAGAATGGTTTAATCATGTATAGTGGCACAGTTACATTGGTTTAAGCCAGATTTACTGAGATATTATCAGAAATGGGTATATACAGGTGCTTACAAAACACCTACACTTTGCAGATGTCATATAACCTGTTTCTTGCACATACAGAAAGCTTTACTGGCCCTCCATTTGGTTGTGTAGATATGTATACACTGTATATCCATGTCAAATGCAGCAGGGGTTTACTTTTCTAACCTGAGATGTAAGAAAAGCACATTTATTTTTTAGTTGTTGTTAGTAGTAAAAAGTATTCTTAGCGTGTACTCATGATCAACTAACCTGTGTATTGGAAGAAGGTGGGCCTGGTCCTCTGTAGTGTTGGGAGGGAGCTTGTAGGATCACCTTGCAAAGTATGGTAATTGAGGGGAGATTTGCATTGGGATCTGTAGTCTGCTGACAATAGTTTCTTTCCTAATTTTCTGATGAAAAAGGACTTCTGACCCATGCTGCAAGTGACAAGAGGCAAGTAAGTCTTGTCTTCGCAGATTCCTATGGGAGATTGTCACACATGCTGCAAATCAGAAGTGTTTGTGTCACGTGGAGTTTGGAGTTATAATGTTTGCCCAAACTCCTGTCCCATGGGTGAGTAGCATTTCACTCCAACTTAGTATCTGCAATTGTTGCTGCTCAGATCACCAGTTAACACAGTCTTAGGTCAGTAAGTTTTAAAGGAGGTAAAACATCTTGGAGAGACCATGTGAAATCCATCATGGCAAACCACTGATAACTCCACATCTTATTAGCTTCAATTAAGTATTTCCATGGGGAACCGTGGAACTGTTTAAAGTCATGATGACACATACACACGCTTTGTTCCATCCAAAGAAATAATCTGTTTTCCAGATTTCCAAATAGCCAAGCTATTTTGTTATAGTTTTTTCTTTTCCTTCTTTTAAAAGAAATAATTTATAAGAATTTATCTTGGGCTTGCTACAGATTTAAAAGGGGAAAAAAAGGTTTCTTCTGTCTGACTTCTAAATTATATGCATGACCAAAGATAAATATGCTTTTTATTTATAACTGTGGAGAGATGCCAGACATAGCCTTTCATATGACGCACCGCTGCTGTAGTAGAGAAGTACTTAAAACAGTTCCAGTCAAGTTAGGCCCCAAGACTTTTCATGCAACTTCATGCAAAATGGTTAAGACCTTTCGTTTACTTTTTTTTTTTCTCTTTTCTTTTGAACATCTTCAAACGTTACAAGTGCCACATGCTTAGAGGATGCCAGGCTTCTTCCTGTCAAGCTGAGATGGTCTGAAAACCACATTGAAACATGGGGAACTGCATCTACCACAGATTGCAGATGGGGGGGTGGGGAGGTTGCAGACTGTAGATCTCTTCTGCCACTCCCTGTATGGCTGGTAACAGTTGGATGAAGGTTATGGATGGAGGCTGGCAAAGCAAAGGATTGCTGTGCTTTTATGAGGCTGGGATGAATGGACTTTGACAATACTGCTGAATAGGAATACTTGTGGAGCTAATACAATTTGTAATTGTCAGAAGTGAAAAGTAAAAACATGATTATAAACTGTGCCTAGGATCAGCTTATGTCAGCTTTAAATGGTTTAAAAGTCTACTGTCTGGAGCTGCATCTTACTTGCCTGTAAAACTCCTTAAAGAAGACTTAAA